TTAAACTAGGGGTGGAGGATTTTGCTAGAATTGAAAGATTTTCCTTTGAGCGCACATGTTGAGCCCTCCCAGGTTTCATGCGGTACATACATGGTCGGAGGGGCGCCAACGGTTTTGTCGTGAAATTTTTTTTAAAGACAAATTGGGCCCTCCCCAAAACGGGATCCTGGTTTCGGGACAAGGAGAATTATAACAACAGCAGAATTTAATAATTTTTTCATTTTTATTATATTTTGAGTTGGTTAATTAGTCGACTTGCGGTGTACCGACGGGATTCAAAAACCGAGTCGATCACTACCAAAAAATATTTTTATGAAAGTACGGGAAGCGGAGAGTGCGTTAGTAGCATCGATTTATGATTTTGAGGTCCCGACCATTTATTTTCATTTTCATGTGTAGACTTCGGGTAACCGTCGGCCCTCGTTAGGCGTGCTGAAAATTAGCGGGAGCGCTTTCTTGAAAGCACGAGAACAGTAGAAGCCGTTCGTAAAATTTATTTTACGTTTTGAAGTTTCGAGCATTTATTTTGAGAAGCTCGAAGTCGAGTACGCATAATAGAAGAATAAAAGTCGTTTTGCGGGGTTCCGTAAGGTTGCGTGTGACCTCGGTTTAACGAGAATCGAGTTGGAGCGTGTAGACAATTCAAGCACGATTCCATACGGACACATTTCACATTTTTCGGAGTTCCGAGCATTTATTATGGGAGTTTAAAATTCTGCGTTAAATAGTATCAAAAGGAGCAAATTTGTCGAGGACGAGTTCGATCGTTCGAGGCTTGGCTCTATCTCTCGTATCCGATCCCAACTCGCCCCGCCTGTCTTAACATCATTGTTCCGCTGTATCAATCTTTTGATTACGAGCGCAGGCGAAGTCGAACTGAACCTAGCAAGCCCTGACACTGGTGCAGCAGGATAAATCTTCAAGCTGTTCCAACAGATCTTGAGCGGGTAGTATGGGATCCGTCGTCGGAGAGAAAATCACCCGTTTGAGCGCCCTCCCGCCTGGGGAGTACGTTTGCAAGAATGAAACTCAAAGGCTTTTCTCAAATTTTTCAGCTTTTCGTCTATTCGAAAAGAGATATAATTCTTGATTATTATTATAATTGAGTCCGAAATTTTTATTAGTATAAATTCGAGTATTTTTCGAATTAAAACAATTCAGTTTAAGTATACCAGTTTAATTCGACTTAATTTGATTTTTAGAAAACTCTCTAGAGTATTCCTTTATATCCTGCGAAAATTTTTGAGAGCGTCCACAAAAGTCCTTTGAGCGCCCTTCCGATGTCGGAGTGGAGGTGGTGCACCGCGGGATGACCAGAGTGGGGGTGATGCGCCGGGACAAATTGGACCCTCCCGGAATGACCGGCTAGTTTAGCGACTGACACAGGCTAGCTAGAAAAGCTCGGCTCTATTTGCCTTCAACTTGCAACTATCTGGCAAACAAAGAAACGGTGCATAAAAGAGAGGGAGACTTGCAAGGAAGTCTCCATGAGTGTTTTCATTTCACTCGCCTCATATTTTAGGGTCTTTCAGTGTCAATATTCATGAAAACAATCAACCCACCTTCACACTCTCAATTCTGTGCTTCCTGGGCTCGATGCTACGACCCCATGAAGAAAGTCACCAAATCTTTCAAACCCAAAACCTCCCTTAAACCCTCCGCCTTTTCAAAATCCTTGAGCACCTCCTTTAATTTCAACCATGAATATCGAGAGCAAGAAAAGCCAAAGCTCCACCAACTCAATGATGAAAGCCCAGAAATTTTGAATCTTCCCGTGGTGATACGCCGGTCCGGCAGGGTCTCCGGTTATTTTTGGGATGGGAAAGAGCTGAAGTTAGCCTCTGTCGATGAAATTAATGTACTCTCGTTGTCGAATTCTTCCTTGAATTTCGAAGGTGAAATGAGGAAATTGAGTAGAGTTTGTGTAAGTGCTGTGAGGAACTTTTTCCTACCGAGGGAAGTGAGTGATAACTATTTGGAGTATGTGAAGTGGAAGTTTTTGCATAGAGTTTTCAGCTCCGCTCTTCAGGTTCTTGCTACTCAGGTACTAATTTTGAGGTTAAGGTGTTATAGTTTGGACAATGCTCCACTATTAAAATTTTTAGTATTGAATAAGGTAAGTTGGATTTGGGGCTTTAAGGTTAAGCCGAGCTTTTTGGTTACATATGCTGCGACTTAATGTGGAATTGATTGAGTTCTAATTGTTGTAGAGTTAAGATTTTTAACTGAATTTTCTTATCACATCAATGCAACCGAGATACTACATTTCTGAGTTTGCCTACTGAATCTTGGAGAGTTTTAAGACTCGATGATTTGGTGTTTCTTTCAAATACACTTAAGGTTGGAGAGTTTGTTTTTCATGTACACGTTCTTGAATTTTAGATTGCACTATGTATATTTGTTTGGCAAGGTTAACTTGTGTGCTTTTCAGATTACCATGGTTAACACTATCCATCACTTCTTTTACTTCTAAACAATCTTCGGTAATACTTACATGCATTGAGTCAGGATTGTTTGTGGTGTTTTGACTGTTCATATTAGGCAATGTTTCGTGCAATTGGAATCGGCTATTCTCGTTCACTCCCATCAGCCGCTGCACTAAACTGGGTTTTGAAGGATGGGCTTGGACGGCTTAGCCGGTGCATTTACACTGCCAGCCTTGCTTCTGCTTTTGATACCAATCTCAAGGTACAACTTGTGTTCCTCTAGAGAAGGTGGCAAGTTGCAAAAACTGGTTGGAATTTATCGGTAGCTCCTTTGTTTGTAAGGGTTAGTTGCAAAAGAATATCATTTAGGCTGAGTAACAACTGATGGCACACACCCCTGTTGTGTTTCTCAGTTACAAATGCCCGTTTGACCTTTGTTTCATTTACATAGTTGAAATTTCATGATGAGGATTATATGACTCAATGAATTGTTTAGACTCCGTATTGTTAACTTTGAACGATAAATGGATTTCTTTTTGGTATTTCTAATGCTACCCTATTTATTGACTCATGTTAGCAAAACTCAATGTTCAACTGTGTCAGAGATCAGCTTTTATTTCAATTAATTCAATAATTGGGCTCTTGGACCCATTTTCTTAGAATATCCATTAGGGTTATAGTTGAGGTAAGACTATTTTAGTGCACTGTCGTTGGATACTTAGGATTATCTTTTGTTGGATAGAATTGTCGGCTTTAAGCCTGGGTGCATGAAATTTCTTCTTGAAGTGTCGGCCTTAGGCTGGCAGGGATTCTTCCTGAGTTGTTCTCAGTCATTTTATTAATTAATAATAATATTTGTTATCTATTATTTTGATTGCTTTCACCCTTCACTCTATCAAACTGTTCAACAGAATGTGGCTAGTACGTTGTTAGAAATTTCACTTTCTAAAAATGGATCACTATATTATCTTGGAAGAACTATTGATGTGTTTGTTTTTTTCGACTGAAGAGGGTTAGGTTTGCGACATCTTTCCTGTTCAGCTTGAGCATTGGGGTCGAGCTGCTGACTCCCATCTTTCCCAAATACTTTTTGCTTCTAGCAACACTAGCAAATATTGCAAAGCAAATAAGCCTTGGTTGCCACTTAGCCACTGGTGTAAGTTTCAACATTTTTTTGCTTTTGTATCTTGAGAGACTTAACCTTCCTATTATTAACCAGTTAATTTTTCTTAGAAACGGGACATTATTTTTTGATCATTACATTCCCAGTCGCCTTTGAAATATTTCTCCTATGATCTTGATGTGATAATTCGAGTTGTGTGTAAAGCTCCTGATGTTTTAGTAATGTAGATTGAATATTTATCATTGTAAGTAAGTTTGACGAGGCTATGACTGTGTAATAAAATAATGCCGCTTACAAAAAGGAATATCATGAAACTCATACTGGAGTATATAGCGCATAATTTTAGTCGAGCTTGATACCACCACGAGATATGCATGGCATGCTCCCAATACATGCAACGATGACATGACTTAGGTAGTTAGCTGCTCTAGTTCATCTGCAATGTTTTTAACACTTGAGTATGCCGACAAATTTCATTCATGTGTATTTAGCAAATTTTATGTATAGGCTGATAGAAAGTTCAATTGATCATGTTGTGCAGTCAGCTGTTCACAGAAGCTTTGCGATCGCGGATAATCTTGGTGAAGTTTCTGCAAAGGCTCAGGTATTATGAGATTTCGTGATAGGTTTCCAATAAAAGGACCTGAATTATTTATTTTCTTTAGAAATATTGATTCTTAGTTCGTGGTTTGTTTCAGATTCAGACAGTGTGCTTTGACAATGTTGGTCTCCTGTTATCAGCTACCTTGAACATCATGTTTAGAAACAATCAACGGTAACTGCTCTCCAATTGTATTTCCAATTACTGCTAATCTCATTGGTCATTGAATGTTCTTTTGTTCTCCTATTTTGTTGTAAATTATCGATATCTACCGCGTTACTTCCAAGGACATATGCGAAAGAAGTACTATGTATTAATAAATGCAAGTTCTGGTATCAGGAATGAATAGACTTTTGAGATTCATTTGAGCGTATAGATAAATGATGACACATATATTTTCTGGTACAACAGGCTTAATGATAATTGAACTTTGTGACTAACTTTCTTTACGGCGTTGAAGATTGTTGGCAGCTCTACCATTTGTTGTATATCCAATCTTCTCGGGTGTTGACCTTTATGGGATTTATCAAGGCCTTAAACATGTTCATCTCCAAACATTAACTAAGGTTTTGCCCTTTATATTTCAGATTTTGTTTTTGTACATTTTCACATCAGGCATATAGTTTTCCCTGTTTCCAATGAATAACCAGACTGTAATATTACCATTTTTTTTACCAGTCTAATTTTGTTTTTTGCAATTAAGAATTCCCCCCTTATTTTCAATTAACTTCTTGTCCAGGATAGACTTGAGTCGATATTAAAGATTTGGATTCAGCTAAGATATATCCCTTCACCCGATGAAGTGAGTACAAAGGAAGGCATCGGTTTATTATGGAGAAAAGGTAAAGCCATTTATTTTTAATTCAAGAAAAGTAAATAAGATGCACAAATTTCCTTGGATTTACGTGCAAGCATTAAATGGTTTTTGTATTAGACAGTGAGCTACTACCTGTTAGAATTGGAATCTTGAATCCCAAGAAAAATAAGGCTTTTGCAATGTCAACGCTATCCATGATGACATTGAAGTCTTTAAAAGATGAAGATTCGTACTTCATTTGCTTGGAGAGCTTAAATTATGGATCCAGAATAATGGATGTGAGTATGCTTACTTATGATATCCAGACCTTTGCAGTGTCAGCTTTTCTATGATTTGGTTCTCAGCAATTTGGTATCTAATTGCAGCACGGGATTCTTATCTGTTTACGGGAGGGGGCCCAAACTTCCGATGTTATCATGGGTTTGTTGCAGGTATAAAAATGTCTAAACTATTTGTTTTTTCATGAAACAAATAAAAAATAAGTTTTATGTTTGTAAACAAAAAATGAGGTATGTTGATGAAATATTCCATGAGGCTTCACATTAATACAGGAAAAAAAAAAATAATCTAACTCCCAAACGACCATAATAGTGATCTCCAAAACGAAATAAGAAATTCTCTTGTGAATCAATTTAGCCCAATAAATTAATGCTCAAAGAAAAGGCTAAAGTAACTCCTTTATTATGTTCACTATGCTTACATTCCCTTCTGCTCATGGAATGCATAGGCTTGTTACCTTCGCAACCGGGTCCTACTCGATACGATCAGTTGGGAGAAGATTCTAGAAACTTGTCAGCACTCGAATTCATTTCTTCGAGAATGGTTTCTACTATTAGAAGAAAGCAAGAGGTCTGCTGAAGCTGATCTTTATGTGTTGATAGATAAGATGTCGGGATTGGGATGGTCTTGCAAAAACGTGCTTTTGAGCATGAGAGAGCAAGAAAGATACAGTTTTGTGGCTGATGGCTGAGATAGAGTGTAATTTGGTAATCTCAATTTGTTACACAGCAATAGAAAGTAGGGTGTGAGTAAAAATGAAGTTAAATAGTGTAAGATTTACAAATCAATAGTCCAAGTTTTCTCCAAAATGAAAGCCTTTTCCATGATCAAATGTTGTTGTTTGTTCTCTTAGTTAAATTCTGTCAACATTGGCAATAATCAATATACTTTGTATTTGTACTTTGCCAATTGTCATGTAGTAAAAATTTAGTTGGCTATATAAAATTTTGTTTTATATGGAGAGCTCTTAGAGCTTTTGTTTTACTTTCGTTTGTTTGTTTATTTATGTATTTATTATTGTTGGTCTTCTTTTTGTGGGGGCTTTTGAGTCTTTTTTTTTTTTTTTTCCTGAAATGATAGGATTTATATAAAACGAAAAGGAAATGTACAATATCGGGGCAAAAAGCCCAATGTTCTGTTTAAGAAGACAATGAGGAACACAACAAGTGCCCTAAAAATACCCAAAAGTACTAGAAGGTTTCCTTCGAGTGACTGATGATGAGTCATAGACATCACTGAAGAATTTCTTCTAGCTATCAGCAAAATGGACTAAACCACTGATCCAGGATCCTAGCTTAGAACCAACTACAAAAGCAAGAAGAACCTACACAACACACTACTCCAACCACAACCCAATCACTACAGGACCCAAGAACATAAATTATGCTCCTGCCAGCTTGTTGAACTCCAACCAATCATCTAAGGCAATGGAAGAAGAAACACCCCAAAAGAATGGAAGATTAAGGTCTAATCCCGAACCTGTAAATACTCAAGACTCTAAATGGGGGAAAAAATCACAATTATAACATTTATCCAAACAAAAAGCAAGAAAAAAAAAAGAAGAAAAAAGAGAAAAAAAAATGGTTACAACAACCAAAATGAAAAGTATGAACCCGGGCTAATAGGTGCTTAGACGAACAATCTGCACCAAAAAGTGGGCCAAAGGAGAACAAACACAAAATAGCTACTAAATATGAATGTGAGGTAGTCAAGTTGGTCTATCCACACTAAAGTACGTAGGTGGAGAGAGACGCCGTCTGGGTGGAAAATGCGCCTTTGGGGAGTGGAGGCACTGAGGCTGGCCAGGAAGTGAGCGAGCTCATTTTCTTCACGGAAGATGAACGAGATCTGGTAACGAACCGACTGAAGTGTGGATCTGATGCGCATGAGTGGGTGTTGAATCTGCCACAAGGCCTGGTGGCGACATCGACAACATACAGTTCAATCCAAATGTGACTAGAGATAGAGGCTGCAACCTGGAGGCCAATTTGGAACGTCTGAATCTTTGCGTCGTAGCTCATTGAGGCCTGAAGAGGAGCGTGGAAGGCAGTAATGAGGACTCCGGTGTGATCCCTAATCAGGCCCCCGCCTCTGGCTACTCCGGTGAGTCGGTCAAAAGAGGGTGTTCAACTTAACCCAAGGGAGTCGGGTCTCAACCAAACAACGAATCTGGGGCGAAGGTGCTGGTTAGACGGAAACGGAGACGACACGATATTGTGGCACAACATGCAGCATGTCCAGTCTCTAGGTATGAGTCTGCCAAGAGTTGTGAGGAGAGAGAGATGTCTATCAACCTGCAAAACAATGTGAGAGCACATACAAGTAATATTCATATGCTTCGCACTTTTTCTCTCGGTCCAGATGAACCACAAGATTGGACAAAGAATGAGAAAGCCAACGTATCTAAACTGTGAGAAAAAACTTAGGAGCACACGGAAACTGTTTGTAGTGAGTAGGGGTATATGAGTAATAGTGGCAAAATGCCCAGTTCTAAGCACATTCCTGTGAACATCCATATTTTTTTATTTCACACTGCTTGCCACTATGTCCTAGTCTACCACAATAAAAGCAGAAGGTCAATAAACTCTCGTACATGAACTATATCCAATGCTCAACCTTTCTCAACTTTATGGTAGTTCCTCTAGGAATAGATTCCAACCATTTCACTTCAGCTAGAATTTTAACCATTTTTCCATTAATGCTTCCTGCCCTTGGGACTAACACGTCGAGCACTCTATTAAAGATCTTTCCCACTTTTATTCCCATCTCTGCCGAGATCCAATAGAGAGACAGGTCATGAATCGGTAACCATAGCTCCACTTTTAGTTCTTCATCTCGGAATTCGATTGTGTCTTTCTTGCACTCCTTGCGAAACAAATACTGCCCATTAAAGGACCAAACTTTCCTTTTAAGAACCTTGTTTTTGTCTTTCTCTGCTTGGAAAAAAAAAATCTGAAAAAGAGTTCTGCCCTAACACTAACCGAAAACGACCTGTTAGTTTTCTAGATTACCCCATCGTTGTTCACAATCCCCTAGGTTAACTTTTTCTCTCCCACTATCTTTTTTTTTCAGGCTTAGCGCGCATTCATATAACTTTGATTCAATATCCGACTCCGACTAGGTATTCCCCGTTCGTTCCTTGTCTGATAGCTCAAATTTAGTCAACTTATCGATGATGTCCTGCTCCATTCCCTCTTCGAAACCTCCATAATCTTACTAGGATTGCCGCCTTCGCGAAGAACAATTAGTCCTGCAAGAAAGAAACCAAAACCAAAGCATCAGTAGAAAACCCTAACCCCCAAACCAAACACACAAACAAAAGAAACCCCGAAGTAAAAAAAACAGAGGAAACTCGAGGAAGAAACACATAAAGCATGCAAAACACTTGATCAAAGCTAAGAAACTCTTGAGATGGCTTGGGTCTCTTCCAGCTTAACCAGTGGTCTCGTGTTCGAGCCCTGGGAATGCGACAGTGTTAAAACTCTTGAGGGAGAGTTTTGCCGCCCTTGTGGTCCTACCCGGTTCGTTTCCAGATTAGTCGGTTCCCCTGTGGATCCGGAAA